AAAAAAAAAAAAAAACCAAAAAAACTGAAAAGCTTTGAAAACAAAATGATCTTGAAACATACATCAATAAAAACATAATATAAAAACTTGAAAATTAGTAATGTAAAAAATAAAGTGAGAACTTAAAATATTGCCTATGAGGATAAAGTGTTTTTCTTAACTCATCAGGCTTAAGTGTAATTTAAAGGTAAACATAAATCAAAAAGTGAAATTTTTTGACTTGTATTCACTTAATCCACTATTTTAGAATTAAATTGTCATCATTAATTGTAACAATAAGAAGATCAACAAGTAAGATTTTCATAAACCAACTATAGGCTTTTGCCCAGGGGGGCCACCCAGCTCCCTGGGGATTGCCCAGGCAGCTCCCCTCATCTTTGCCTCTATGAATTCTGTTGTATTTTAAGAGACTTGGTCATAGCGGGAGCACTCAACAGGGTGGCAGGCTCTGTTAATCCCCTGGACAAGTGGGACAGGAATGCTACAGCATGGCAGTGTGAGTTACCGGCATACCTTGCAGCTCCCAAGGTCAGGAGACATGTGAGTTATATATGCTTCACAAGGCCTTGAACACAAAACTAGCATGAGTCAAATACAACTCACATGGCAGTTAATGTGTTAAATGCGTCTATACCTATATATAGAACTTTTTTGAACTTGGGTTTCTACTTTGTTCTTTGTCTCTACATACTTTTTTCGTTAATGGAATAATCATAGTGAATAGAGGCTTTTGGTATAAGTTCAGGGTATGGAACCCTGTGTGGCTAATAAGTGATTCTGACAGGGGCTGCATCTGCTTAGGCTCCATGGCTTAACCAAGTATCCTTTTTCCACAGAACATTCCTCCCTTAGAGCACTACGTGGGGCCAAATGGCTTTAAAAGTCTGGCTCAGGAGGCCACAAGATTGGCAGACAGGTGAGCAGCATTAGAGGGCACCCGTGCTTCAGGCTATCTTTGCAAGGCCAATCCTGAATAAGCACTATATTCCTTCTCTCCAGGCTCCTTTGCAGCCATCCCCCACCTTGAAGCCAGTTTTCAACCAGTTGGCTTTTAGTATATGTAGGTGGCCATTGGGTGGGGTCCTTTTGCAGGACTTGGGGTGGGGGTGTTTCTTTCCCAATTTTCCTATGATTCATAATATGGCTTTGGTGTATGTCAGATGGGATTCCTTGGCTCACGTGAAATGAATCAGCTCTTGGAAAAGAATGCTCTGCAGCTTTCAGGGACTCCTAAGCTCCCACACCAAGCCTGGGAACAAGTAGCAACAAGTTGTTTGTCAGCCTGTGGGGCTTAAGTCTGCAGAGGGGGACTTCCTCCTGGAAACTGGCTCTGCAGGGCCCCCATGATGAACAGGCAGCTCCCCTCATCTTTGCCTCTATGAATCCTATTGTATTTGAAGAGACTTGGTCATGGCAGGAGTGCTCAGCAGGGTGGCAGTCTCTGTTAATCCCAAGTGGAATTTGGTCAGCAGAAGTGAACAGGCTTGTGTTTTTGCAGTATGAGCTGCCTCCTCACCTCCCTCCCCTCAGCACTCCCCCTTTTTAAAAATTGCTTTCTAGAACCAGGAGGACAAAAGCCTCAGGGGAACTTTTATTGACATGCTTTTGTCCCCCTAGTGGTGGGCCCAGTTTAGAGTTGTCATGAAAGTGAGTAGGGGGTGGAATTTGGGAGAAAATAAGACATAGGAGTTGCTTCCTGCAGAAAATAGCCCACTCTGGGCTTCCACTGATTACATGATAAATGGTAACAATCACAAGGTCTATGACATGAGGCCAATTCTCCTAAATACCCTCTGCTTCTTGATAGTTCCTCTAATTCCACCCAATCTGAGTCAATTCTGTTTGTTTTTTCTAAGCCAAACCAAGTCCTTTACTTTGCCCCTAATTGAACAGCCCAAAGGAACCCCTTTGCTATGAAAATTCTAATTCTTTGTTTTTAATCCTTTCAGCCATGTTGAGTCAGCCAGTAACATGGAGCAACTGGCAAGGGAAACTGAGGAGTATTCCAAACAAGCACTATCCCTGGCCCGCAAAGCTCTGAGCGAAGGAGGCGGAAGTGGCAGCTTGGACAGCGCTGTGGTGCAAGGGCTTGCGGGAAAGTATGTTTCCACGGGTCCTCACGTGGACCTGGATCCTCCCAGTGTTTAGTGCAAACCATACTTGAGGGTCACTGTGTTTCTTTAAAAAATATTAAGGCTAGGGTATTTTGGGGGTGGGGTAGGACAGCTATCTTTAAGACTGGAAGAAGAAAAATGTGGTTAATCTAGTAAAGTTTATGTTGTGATTAAGACATTGCAGCACTTGCAAATATGATTACCCTTCATGGTATTTGAAAGGTATGAGTAAACACATCTGATGGCATGGTAGATATAAAGATAATAGGTTTCTGTTATCAAGATTGGGAAATCTGGGTTTTATCTTTGTGACCCAACCTGTGGAAATTAAAAGGATTATATTTAGATTGTGAAGGGACACATCTCTGACATATTACCTTCTTTGGTTTATTCCAAATATTCCAACTGCATATTTTAAAAACAACAGGATGAATTATTGCTTTCATTAAAAGGGTAAACTTTCAAAGGCCTATTCCCCCCCCCCCGCCCCCTCCTAGGTTGGAGAAAACCAAGTCTCTGGCCCAGCAGCTGTCAAGGGAGGCCACACAAACTGACATTGAAGCAGACAGGTCTTATCGACATAGTCTCCGTCTCTTGGATGCGGTGTCTCAGCTTCAGGGAGTCCGTGACCAGTCCTTTCAGGTGATAGGATCTGGCCTGTGTGCTTGACGTACAAAAGAAGGGCCATAAATGCTTTCTTCTCTGCAGGTTCCATAATTTGTTCAACCATTCCACTTTTTCTTCATGTTAGCCTTTCTTGTTGTAGTGTAGGAAGAGTATTTGGCTTTCTTGTTATCCATTTCCTTATTCTTAAACCACAATTTTAGTCTCTGGAAAGGTGTTGACCCATCCTTAGGCTATTAGTGGATAAAGGTTTTATATCTCTTCCCTGGGTTAGGGGACTGTTGAAAACCATGAAAGATTATTATAAAGTGTTACGTTTGCACTTGGGTCAACCCTTAGTACTTCTCTAGGTATAACCACTGAGAAGACTTTTGTTCTTAAAAGTTATGTATTGTTTCTGTCATCTATTCCCTTAACCATTCCAAACTTATTAAATTAAAAAGCTTCAGCTTATTACCTACAGCAAAAACACTCAAGATTCTCATGCCCATATGTTACTGTGAATATATAAACTAACATGTAAAATTGAATAAAAAAAGAACAGAGACAAAGCCTGTTTGACACTTGGGTGACCTGTTGCCTGATTTTCATTGGATATACTCCCTCATTTCTGGTAGGCTTTGGGTCTGGATAGTTAGTGACTATTTTTTGGCTTCTTAAAGCTATTGCTGTTTTTAAACAGTAATGCCAGGTCCTAAGAAGGCTGGTGTGATAACTGGGGAGCAAAAAGTCATACTCACTCATTTCTTTGGGCTTATAGGTGGAAGCAAAGAGGATTAAACAAAAAGCTGACTCTGTTTCAAGCTTGGTGACCAGGCATATGGATGAGTTCAAGCATGTGCAAAGCAGTCTGGGAAACTGGGAAGAAGAAACCCAACAGCTCTTACAGAATGGAAAGAATGGGAGACAGGTATTTGTTGTTTATTTACTCAACAAATATGTTTTAAATACCTATCAGCTGAATGAATACAGCAGGAACCATCTAAAGCTCTCTAATGTCTGAAGCTCTCTACTTGTAAGAGGAAGTAACCGAGATGCAGAGATTTTGATGTGATTAGCTCAGATATACCCACTAGTCAATCCTAAGAATGGGTCCTTGAATTAGACCTAGCCTCCAAGGTCAAATTTTGGTCTAACTCTGTCTATGAGCTTAGCTTCAGTAAGTATCTAGAGTTTAAATTTGTGATTTGCAAAACTATTCCTATACCTGATGGTGGACTAGAGTTTGAGACTATTTTCTGTATAGGACATGTTGTTAACTTATAAAGTTCTTTCCCAGATTGTAGAAGGGTTGTCTTCAGTACCCATAGACTTTATGGTGAATTGCCACAGAGAAGAATGTATCAGAGTGATTTTGCTAGCAGGAATGTCCTTCTTTTAATCTTGTTCTTCTACCTATTTACAGAAATCAGATCAGTTGCTTTCCCGGGCCAATCTTGCTAAAAGCAGAGCCCAAGAAGCCCTAAGTATGGGTAACGCCACCTTTTATGAAGTTGAGAGCATCCTGAAGAACCTCAGAGGTTAGTATCTCATGGGTCAAGTCACTTAAGTATTTTAAATGACTTGAGCAATGACTAATTTATCTTGAATCCCCATATATCTAAGTGGTAGGTATTATACATTGTAGTATTAATAGATGTTTAGTAAGTATCTTTCTAAAGAAAAAAATCTCATTAATGTTTAATATAGTAAAAAGAATTGAATTAGATGTCAACAGGCCTGAGTTCTGGTCCCTGCTGGGCCATCTGACCAGGTTGAGCTAGCTGTGTGACTATGGGCAAATCATGTAGCCTTCCCAGATCCTAACATCTTCCTCTTTAAATGGAAAAGGTATAAGTGAGTGATCTCTAAGGTCTGTCACAGGTTTCCGTCTAGATAGCATTCCTTTTCTTTTGTAGCCTGGTTAGTTCCAATATGGAACTGATACGATTGCTTTGTGGTGATGACAGAACAACCTTTGTCACTGTGTCTAGATTCCAGGAGATTTGGGTTTATGCCTTCTAGAGATTTGTGTGAAATTTCAGATTTCTTTACTAAAGAACAAAAGAGAAACTTTTCTTGGGATTTTCATTATGGAAAGAATCTCTCTAGCTATTCTACCCAAAGGCCAACTCTAGTCACTGACAGCCTTAGGGCTTAAGGCTCTGCAAAACTGGGCATTCAGGCAGGCTGATTGTTGGTTTCTCTAAGCAAAGAGCTGGTTACAGCCCCTCGGTGACTCCTTTAAGCTGCTCTCTCTTAGCTAAGAAAGAGTAAATTCTAGCTGTGACTTCCCACAGCCCCGTCCCCAGTCAGTAATTACATTATTTTAGGGATTTTTCTTTAAAACATCAGGCCCTCTCACTCATTCATATATTCACTTTTATATTCATGACACTTTTTTTCTTTTCTTCATTTCAGAGTTTGACCTGCAGGTTGAAGACAGAAAAGCAGAAGCTGAAGAAGCCATGAAGAGACTCTCATATATCAGCCAAAAGGTTACAGATGCCAGTGACAAGACCCAGCAAGCAGAAAGAGCCCTGGGCAGTGCTGCTGCAGATGCCCAGAGGGCAGAGAAGTCCGCCAGGGAGGCTCTGGAGATCTCCAGCGAGATTGAGCAAGTAAGGAGAAATGGAGGTCCAGGTTGGTGTGGAAGGAAGGCGAGCACTGGGCTCATTTTGACCCCGGTGTCTCAGAGTCCCGCTGTGGCCACATCAGCCTCTGAGCCACATGGCTGCCCTTTCCTTTAGATTGACTCACAGGCTGTAGCTGACCGAGTGCCAGAGCCACCATTTTTACCTCCCTTGTGGACAAGGCCATGAGAATAACCATCTGAGATTGTTTTTTATAGAGATTATTGTGTTACATTTCCAGGCCTGCTGTAACAAAGTGCCACAAACTGGGTGGCACTAAAAAACAGAAATTAATTTTCTCACAATTCTACAGGCTGGAATTCCAATAGCAAGGTGTCAGCAGGGCTATGATCCTTCTGAGACTGGGTTGGATCCTTCCTTGCCTCTTCCTAGTTTCTGATGTGGTCATTAATCCCTGGCTTTCCTTGGTTTGCAGCTATGTCACTCTAGTCTCCACCTATGTTGTCACATGGCGTAATGCTTCCTGCAGGTCTCTATCTTTTATAAGTGCACCAGTCATATTGGATCAAGGGCCTACCCTGCTGCAGTGTGACCTCATCATAGCTAATTACATCTGCGGCAACCCTATGTCTAAATAAGGCCATATTTTTAGGACTTCAACAAGATTCCCACCTTTTAGGGGGATACAGTTCAATCTGTAACTATAATTATCAATGTTTTAATTCTAGATTATGAGATTCTGAAGTTCTAGATCCATTGTTCCAGTCTATGTCTAAGTTCCACTTGTTCATTTTTCTCTTTCTTTCCACGATGTGCTAGCAACATGCTTGCTGCTGGGGATACAGAGATAAGAAAGACCTAGTCTCTCTCTTTAAGGAGCATTCAGTGCAATGGGATGACTGACACGCTGCACTTACAACCCAGATGTTAAATGCTACAAAAGAAGGCTGCAGCTTGGCTGGAACAGAATATCTTAGCTTTTAATTAAGCACAAGTTTTAGCAAGGTTATGCAACTCTTAGAAAGCCCAGGACTCTTGGAATCTGGACTGTTTGGCCTCACTTTTAGAACACTTGGCAACTTGCAAAAATAATGTCTAATTTTAAGTACCTTGAGAGTAGAGACCAATTTCATGTGTCTGTCTTTTTTTTTTGGCCTGGGCTGGGTTTGAACCTGCCACCTCCAGCATATGGGGCCGGCACCCCACTCCTTTGAGCCACAGGCACCACCCCATGTGTCTGTCTTTATTCAGCTTCTAGTAATACCTGCATTTTAATGCTTAATAATAGCTTATTGATAAAGCTATTGATAAGCTCTGTCTTTAAAACAACAAAAAGGTAATGCTGTAGCCCACCGATTCCCTGCATTCCAAAGTCACTGTCTCAGGTATCCTAGTAAAGTCATTCAAAACACCATGCCAGCAAGGAAGCATCACAGAGAATCCTGTGAGTGTTTGGTCCTCTGGGTTTTCCCAAATGGTTCCTGATTGTATTCAACCTGTAGTGAACATTGAACTGGGAGGGAAATGGTGTCTCAGGGCTGACACTCCTAGTCCCAGAGACATATTCCACATTAACTTGTTTGAGGTAGAGCTTGGGGAAGGGTGTGCCCCTGAGTCTGACTTTCTCATTGTTTATCTAACTTACCCCAGCAGGGCCTGACTGCAGCTGTATTTTTTCCGCAGTTGTCTTTGGGATGTTTTTGTGCCTCACCTCTCTCTCTCCTTCCGCCCTGGCTTCTTTTCTTCTCCCAGGAGATAGGGAGTCTGAACTTGGAAGCCAATGTGACAGCAGATGGAGCCTTGGCCATGGAAAAGGGACTGGCCACTCTGAAGAGTGAGATGAGGGAAGTGGAAGGAGAGCTGGCAAGGAAGGAGCTGGAGTTTGACAGGGACATGGACACAGTGCAGATGGTGAGTCCCTGTTACTTTCCACAGCAGATCCCTTTGTATAGAATAGATATATTTGTTCTATGTGTCCCAATATAGAAAATACCTTTTGTCAAAGCCTATTGGTGCTTGTTTTTCCTCAGGTGATTACGGAAGCCCAGAGAGTTGATATAAGAGCCAAAAACGCTGGAGTCACCATCCAAGACACACTCAACGCGTTGGACGGCATCCTACATCTAATGGGTATGTGGAGGGTCCACATGCTTCCCACACCATGCTCTAGGCCACGATGAATGGGAATCTCCATTTTCCTTCAGGATTTCACAAAATATGCTGTGTTTTTCAGGCCCAGAAACTTTGGGCAGAGTTACTTCAAATTTTCTGGACTTGGATTACCATCTTTAAGATGAGTTACTGAGCACCATTCGGAGTTGGGGGTAGAGGTCTGTGGGTCTAAGAACTGGATGTATTCAAGGAACTTACCAGAAGACTGGATAGCTTGAGTGTCCCACTAAGGACTCTGACCTTGATCCTCAGAGACCTGTTGAATAGTTGTAAGCAGAGGAATAAATTCATCAGTGTATATTTTAGAAAGATCACTAGGGTGGCTGAATTGAGGAGAGCTTGAAGCAGAATTAGATAGAAGGCAAGTGGGGCCCACTAGGATGTTATGGAAATAACCAAGGGGAAAAGATAACAGGAACCTGTTCTAAGGCGGTAGAGTTATGATGGGTCCTCTCAGGCTTCGAGGTCAAGAATCATTTGGTAACTGGCACGGTGGTTCATGCCTATAATCCTAGCACTTTGACACATTGCTTGAGGTCATAAATTTGAGACCAGCATGAGCAAGAGTGAGAACCTGTCTCTATAACAAATAAAATTAGCCAGTCATGGTGGTGGGCACCTGTAGTCTCAGCTACTCAGGAGGTTGAAGCAGGAGGATTGCTTGAGCCTGGGAATTTGAGGTTGCTGTGAGCTATGATGACGTCACTGCATTTTACCCAGAGCAACAGAGAGAGATTCTACCTCAAAAGAAAGAAAGAAAGAAAGACTTGCTGTTTCTTTTCTACCCAAACCAGAGGTATACCTTGATGTAACCAATTGGAGAAACATTAGCTGCCTAGATGGATCACCCAGAAGAAATCTGAAAATAGTAGGTCCACATGATATTGGCCTAAAATTTTAGGCTAAAATAGACTTGATGGCACAGTGTGGCAGAGAACCAGGTTTCTCTGTAATAAGGTTTCTCACTCCCAAAAGGAAATTGATTTTAATTAGAAGTCTGGATTTAGGTAGAGCTGGTATCAAGCCCTCCTTTGGCTTGTTCTGTTGAGCTTAGACTACATTATTTTTGGAATGAGTGATTGGGTCACAGATTCCAGCAACATTCAAAAAAAGGCTTGGCTCTACTTTTCCAGTTCAGTAGAACTTTGAAACCAGATTTTCCTGTGGAGAGTATCGTTACCCTGAGAGACCAGTATTGTCTGTGTTGTTATACTCATGGGTCTGCTTTGTGATCCAATGAGCCCAAAAGAACAACACACCCTCTAAGGCTGAAAAAATAAAAACCCCCTCCCAGTTGAGACCCTGGTGGCATTGTTTAGTATTCTTAGAAAAGCTCATGAAACTAATGGGCCTTCAAAGAGAAAATGAGTGTGGAAAGAGAAACTCTGTGGGAATTAGTAAAACATTTACTGTATATCAGGGACTATGGCAGGTGTTTTCTTTTCTTTTCTTTTTTTTTTTTTTTTGAGACAGAGCCTCAAGCTGCCCTCCTGGGTAGAGTGCTGTGGCATCACAGCTCACAGCAACCTCCAACTCCTGGGCT